TTATCATTAATAGGGAGCTTCTGATGTAGAAACCTTTAGTATATAAATGATCGAGATGGTGGTATTAAACCAGACCAAATTGCAACCACCCAAGTAGGAGAACAACCCTGCGATTTATAGAAGGAATAAGCCACCTTGAATGTTAGCTTACCATGAATTGTAAGGGCCCATATTGGTTTTTCCTCTCATGGAAGAAGTGCACAAACCTCTAATGCTTGTTTCAGCTTTAGAATGCTCCACAATAGACAGGATGGGATGCACCAAGAATTGTTTACCATAAGGTAGTAGACCTTTGTTTGTAACGCACGACTATGCTCTTTCTTTAAACCAAATCAACTCCCAATAGAGACCTTCATGCACAAAATATTAACCAAAAAATTCACAGATGTTCCATCACCAAGCACCTAACCTTTATATCAATGAATTGTTTGCCAATGAAATTTAATAGAAGGCCAAACAAAAGACAATTTAAAAGAGTGCAATTATTGACCATGTCAGAGAAACTTGGCACGCATAAAACTCACCCATTCTTATGATCCATGTAGAGAAGTCCATGCAAGCTTAATTGTGCTAGCCTCATTTAACGTTGTGACAAAACAAAGATCCAACCCGCCCTCCTTGAGTGGTGCACACACTTTTTTCCATGAAACAATTACATGATTATAAGTAAATGGGTCCCTCGACCAAATAAAATTACAAAGCTTAGAGTCCACCAATTTAACCACTTGTTTCAGTCAGGTATGAACATGAAAGTTATAAAGACCTTCCAAAAAGCCAATTTCATTTTAAGTTTATCAACCAAACCTTGCAAATATCTTGCCTGAAGCTAGCCCTTAAATATAGGAAACCCTAGATAATTGAATGGCACTATATCATTGCAAACCTAAGGGATCAATGAAGAGTAGTGCATCTTGACATTGGCCCACCAAAAAAGTTGCATTTGTTTGCATTAATAATGTGACCAGAGGCTTCCCTATATAATTTAAAAAGTTCCAGAAGATGTTTAACATTTCTAGAAGTCCCATGACAAAAATTATGATATCATTCGCGTATAAAGCATGTGTGGACGTAGAAAAATTTCTAAGACTAGCCATAAGAAGAATAAGATTACACTCAATGAGTTTAAACAACCCTTTACTGAGCACATCTTCTGCAAGGCAAAACAAAGGGGGGGGGGTGGACAAGGGATCCCTCTACCGAAAAACTCGCTTACATGTGAAAAAATCGATTGATTTACCATTAATATTAAAAATAGAATCCATTCGAGTTAAAAATAGTAGTAATCCAGTTGCAAAATACTTAACCAAACCCAAAGCACCAAAGCACTTGAAGGATAAAGTTCCAATCCAATGTATCAAAAGCTTTTCGGATGTTAATTTTCATAGCTATGTTGCTACCAAACACTTTTTTGTCAAGAAAATTAAATGCTTCTCACATAACACAAATGCAATGAATGATTTGTCTTCCTCTTAAGAAAATCGCACTACTATGATGGAACAATTCGTGATGCAATGGAAACAAATGTATCTGCTAAGACTTAAGTAATTTTTTTAAATTGAAAGTTAGTCAATGCAACGGGATGGAAGTCTTCAATCCTATTTGCACAAGAAAATTTCAGAATAAGAGTAACAAGGTTGATGTTTAGACAAGGCAACACCCAATGATTAATCATTTAAAAATAACATTTTTATTAATTGGTGCCCTAAAGATAGTAATTGAAGAATAAAATGAATAAAAATTAAAAACTATTATTAATACATTTAAGACATGATTTTTAATTAAAAATATTTATTAATAATTATTTAACAATAGCATAAAGATAATGTTTTGCAAAATAAAGATATAAAAAATAAAAAGGACAAAAATAAGAGAAAATAATCTATGCATGATAGTGTAAAAGATTCTTTTATACTTTTATCTAATTATCGAGGAGCACATATGGATCGACTAGTATATGAGTTATTTTAGTTTAATTAGTGATTTAAATTTGAATATTGGATATGCAACTATGTTAAATACTTTAAATGAGAGCTTCGTTTCCTATAATTTTCCTATTCAAATCAAACAAGATTATCTCTCATGGAGGATGCTTGTGGTCTATAAAAAATACTTTTATCCAGTCATGACTTGATATGTATGATAAGTTTGTTGATTTTTATAAGGTTAATATACCTTTTTGGTTTGTATAGGTTTACTTTACATTTTGGCTCTTATAGTTTGAAACAAACTTTTTTTCCCCTTATATTTACCTTTTTTAATCCCTTTTAAGTTCCTACCATTAATTTGTATGTAATGTTGTCTATTTAGTGGTGATGCGGCAGATATATCATTTTGTAGTTAAAATACATTTTCAGTCCTTATCTTTGTTATTTCTTTTAAGCCCCTACATTAATTTGTGTGAAACGTCATTTCTATGTAATTGACATGAGTTTATAAAATTTACTTAACGGTGATTTATTTGATTTGGTAGACGGTGATGTGTCACTTAATTGTTTGGGAGAAAAAATGAAGAGTTTTTAATCAATAGAAAGTTTATTTTTATCTTTATCAACATACTCATGAAGCAAGCGGGGAAAAAATTCATTCTGGTCTTTCCTTTATTGTGGTGGAGTGTAGTGGTGGTGTTGTTTTCTTCCAACGTTGGGTGTTTGTGCAAAAACATTTGGTAGACTTCTATGGTGGACCGTCTTGTTCTTTGATGAACTTTTAAGGAGAAACACATTGTACCTACCTTCACTAATGAGTTTTGCCTTGAAAGTTCACCAAAAAACATGGTCTGCCATAACAGTCTACCAAACCCTCTTGTACAAAACACCTAACACCACCACCACACTACACCAAAAACAACAACATCATCGCTCCACCAAAAATAGCAACACCATCTTGTTCCACCAAAAATAATAATGCAACACCATGATACATATAAGACCATGACAAGTAGGGTGGATCCACCTTGGTGGCTGTGGGGGCAACTATACCACTTACCATGTTAAAATACACTAAGTTTTTTATGTCATTTTTTTTATATACATATTATTATAAAATATACCACTTACCATGTTAAAAACTAAGTGCTCCCATTGCCTTTTGTGTTTTTATGTTGTAAAAAAAGTCAAAATCAATATGTTATTTTTGAAGTATATATATATATATATATATATATTTAAATGTAATTGAATGTAGCTTGCTAACTTACTCTTTCTTAAAAAATAAGTGGGTGTAATTTATCAAATATTTGTGAAATTTGTTAACATACATCCACTTCTTTTTTAGAAGGAGTATATTAACAAGTTATAACTATAATATTTTTTAAAGTGCACCTAAGTGTATCTTGTTAACTTACTTCTTAAAAAACAAGTGGGTGTAAATTAGCAAACTCACATATGTGTGTGTGTGTGATGTTAATTATAGTCAAGTTAAGTAAACTTAGTTAAGAGATGATGACTTACCCAAGTCCATGTTATATATAT